AATGAGAAAGGTCAAAGGGGAATGGCCAGATTTGTTCAAGCTGACAGGAAGCCCCAACTACTCAAATATCCACTCTATACAAAAGGTGGTATGTAGAAGCACAACTTTAATAGCACTGATTTAGAATAGAGTAGGGAAGAGTTAAACTGGCCATACAATGCTCAAATTTCAGATCTGAGCTGTGAGTGGCCCTGGCTGGACCAACCAGAAGTTAATATTTCAACAGCGGAAGTGGGAAATACCAGCAGGCACTGTGGAGAAGCAAACAGGTAACGTTTAAAAACACGGCTGCTGCAAAGGTACATATAGATGATTTTCTGTAACAGGGTATGCTTAGATTACAGCAACCCTTTGGTGAAAGGGCCACGTTCAACAAAATGATCTACCTAACAAGTCCAAAGAACGGAAAAGTAATAAAGTGCAGGTACAAGTAGAGGTGTAAGAGCCAGAATTTGGATAAGATTAAAGGAGAACTATGACATGAGTGATTTCCACTCACCTCATAGTTCTAAGCCGACCTGTGACAATGAGACTGTCACATGTCGGCTCAGTAGATCGGGAGGTGAGGGAACACATACCGGGGCAGAGAGCCGTGACAGGGGGAGGGGCTGGATTCCCCTCTCCCCGCTCCGATCTGCCAGCGCTGACTGGCGGAACGGACGGGGGAGGGGGCGGGTACAGCTGTCACTCACGGGCGGATCCCGTCATCTACGTCGGGATCCGCTCCAGGTGCGGCGTCTCAGTATACCGCGAGCTGTAGCTCGCGGTATACTGAGCTTAGGGTAACGGGAGGACGCTAGTTTGTGTCCTCCCGTTACCCTAAGGAGAACTATGGGGAAAAACACTGACCCCATAGTTCTCCTTTAATGTATTGTTGTCTACTGGATCATACTTTGATAGCAATAATTATTGCAAAGAAGATCCAGGGCTCTCAATGGAAGACCTCGGGCAAAGACAAATAGGACATTACTGATTGTAGATAAAATATACTGATATAAAGTTATGATATGATATGGTAATGTGTCTACCCAATGTTTCCCATATATCTATTAATGCCCTAAAACATAGGACCTGATGTAAGAAAAATATCCTAGACAGAAGATGAAGTGTGAATTCCACAACCTCCTGGTTGACAATACGTACAGTACAGTATATGTAATGAGAATATGTTTAAGGCTTCTCATAACACTCGTAGACTGGGTAAAGACAACAAAAATCTAATAGACAAACACAAATGATCATGCAATATCATTAGTCCTTATAGGATGTCTCCAACTTACAAGCAGATCTGAATGTGTGATTGGGCATCTATTTGACAAATTAGGTTTAATGTTTATAAATGTAAAGTTATGCACTTGGCGACTAGAAACACACACTAGGGGAGTATGTTTTGGGGGAGTCAATGATGGAGAAAGATCTGGGTGTTCTGGTAGACCAGAGACTCAATAATAGCATGCAATGTCAAGCTGCAGTTTCTAAAGCAAGCAAAATACGTTCTTGTATTAAAAGGGGTTTACACTCCAGAGAGAAAGACATAATCCTGCCCCTGTACAAAGCATTAGTAAGACCTCATCTGGAATATGCACTTCAGTTTTGGGCACCAGTTCACAAAAAGGATGTTGTGAAACTGGAGAAAGTGCAGCGAAGAGCGACTAAACTCATAAGAGGCATGGAGGAGCTCAGCTATGAGGAAAGATCAGTTTAACTGAAATTTGCTTTCTCTGGAGAAGAGGCGAATAAGGGGGGACATGATCACTATGTATAAATACATAAATGGTCCATATAGCGAGCTTGGTGCCAAATTATTCACTGTAAGGTCACTGCAAAGGACAAGGGGCATTCTTTGCGTCTGAAGGAAAAGAGGTTTAACCTTTGCATAAGGAAAGGATTATTTACAGTAGAGCTGTAAAAATGTGGAATAAACTCTCCCGGGGGCTAGTTCTAGCTAGCTCAGTCAAATGTGTAAAAAAAAAAAATCGCACAGAATATTAATGGATATTGAGTTCTTATAGGTATATTAAGCACCAGGGATGTGCGGTCAGGGGAGGCAGGTGAGGCAGAGCCTCACCTAGAATTATGAAGGAAAAAGCTGTCAGGTTCATGTCGGAAGCTGACAGCTTTTTCTCCATTCAGATCGACATCTAACAGGTTACACAGCAGGGAAATCCTCCCCGCTGTATAACCTGTCACGGAGCCTCAGCGGTGAGGAGCAAGTGAGGGACAGGGAGGCTCCTACTTGTCTCCTTCCTTCCTCCATTACACTAGCTTGGGGGTGGGGATTCAACCGGTGGGGGTGGAGCTTCGGCTGGCAGGAGGCGCAGCTGTTTGGGCGGGGCTTCAGTCGGCAGGGGAGCGGGGCTGGGGAATGCCTCACCCTGATCAAGAGGCACCGCACGTCACTGTTAAGCACCAGGGATTGTTGATCCAGGGAATATCCGATTGCCTTATGGGAACAGGAAGGAATTTTTGTCCCCCTGTTGGAGCGAATTGAACCATGCCTGGCAGTGTAAATGTTCCTTCATTTGTCATCAGACTAGGGTAGTATATGGTTGTATTGCATGTAATGATAATATCTGATGTTCACTGAAAATTCCATATTAATGGAAATTGGGGGAAGAATATGGGAGCGAATATAAGACTTCATTGACAGCATACAATTGTCAAAATCAGAAAGCTACAGCTCTCCTGGATGGGGAATACAGAAGAGTAATAAAAACGTCGGATTTGCACATAATGGGCGACCGTTCCTGTCAGTATAGGGTAGTTTAAGTACATGTTTGCAGTCAGTTTGCCAGCTACAAGAAGATCCAGCACGGTATATACTAGTGCTGACATGCACTGGAAGTACCTGATACAGATCTCCCTACCCATGCCTCAGCTTCCCTTGAGCCAAGGTAGTTTGAATTGTGTTTGGCCAGAGTCCAAATGGCATTGCTCTTGGCTACTTTTCAGTGATGGCGGCCATTACGGAAAATGCATGGATGCCAGTGTTCTTTGGATTCAGCATTGGTATACAGAGGACACTGCTTGTGCCTGGTACCCTGTAATCTTATATCGCAAATAAACACTTTACCACCACAGGTAAAGACAGAGGACAGCAAAACATAGCACATCCAACTACACCACTTTGTCAATTACTTTAAGTAACAATTTTATAAGATAAGTACAAGCCCTACAATTACTGACTGCCTTCTGACAATTCTAGTTGACTGGCTTTTATGATCATCTTCTAACTTCAGTACTTCTGTGTCACCCAGATCATCACAGAAGTCCTTATCTGCATACCTTTGGGTTAGTGTCTCAAAGTATTCAAGCAAGCGGATCAGCAAGACAGGTATTGTAGAATGACAAGATCCTATCCTTTGATCCAAGATTCTATTCTATCCTTCAATATCTGTGAACTGCAGTAGGTCACATTCACGAGTCTCCTACGTTTGGTTTATCTAGACGCAAGAGAAATTACCGGAGAAGTATCAATAACCCTTATGCTTCCCAGATCAAGTTTTCCTGGGTTTAGATGTAGCTGCAGTTGCATGTGTTTAGATTCTTTGAGCCTGGGTTCACACCTGTGTGATGCAATATTCCACATAAATTGCAAAGTGTTTTTACACGCAATACCGTGTGTTCCAGTGGAGGAGCTCATTTATTTGAATGGGCTGTCTACCGCATCTAAATCACACCACAGAAGTGCAGAAGTGATTTTTTTTTTTAAATCACGTTGCACCGCATAATAAGTTACAAAGGTGCGGTGCAACCCATGTGCGATGCTTTTTGGGGTGCCATCAAGAATTAATGGCAGCACAGCAAAAAATGTTCATACATTGTGTTGCACTATGTGGTGGTAACGCATGTGTTCCTGTGTCCCATAGGTGTGAACTGAGGGCCAGGAGTATCTAATCTGCCCCTGGACACACAGAATACTATACTGAATGCACCTAAACGCAGATAAATGCATAGTGTAAAGTATACCATTTAAAATCATTAAATGCATTTATATGCATTAAGAAATGTCCTAGGCATGCATGTGCACTGCCAGTGTTAACGAGGTCCTACACTCCATATTATAAATGGTCCATATTACAAATGGTTAAAGGTATAACAAATAATACAACATGACAAAACTCATCTACTCTACATGGAGATGGGGATACAAGTGATCAGAATTATAATAGATTAGTATGATAATCTGCATTGTAACCTATTGCCATTGTATGTACCTCAATTCACTTTGAAAGCTACAAAAAAAAGAGATTAAAATAGATTTTCAAAATACATACAAAAGGAAATATATAAACATATAGGAAATATATAAATATAATAATTAAATATAAATATATAA